AATGGGGTCCTGGTCCATGACTGGGACTCTAGACGTCATCACAATACACAACATAATTAATAACAATGTATGTAGACATGGTTGGGGCTTGTGGACGGGAGCTGGGATTTCGTATGAGTGCTATTTCCTAAATGGTCTCTCTGAAATAGCAGTGTTGATTTGTTGTTGTTACCTTTGCCAATAAAACCTCAAATTCTTAAATGCAATTTTAAAAGAACACAATAGTCTGGATTCATAGAACCCTGGAATGTGCCAGGGTTGCAGGGAGATCTACAAAGACATGGGAGTACAAGGGTGAAAGAAAGGAGAGGAAAATCAAATGGGGGGAAAGCCAGCAGGAGACCAAGCTTTCTCGGCGGCTGGTCCGAAAATGTGGAACAAAATCCTCTGGGAAACAAGGACCATCCCAACCCTGCTTGACTTCCACTCCTAGTGCCAGACTCACTTCTCCGACCAGCCTTCTCTGACATAAACACAGAACAGTGTGGACATAGACACAACCCTACCTAAACAAACCACGGCATGCAGGATTCTCCCCCTCGGTAGAGGATAAGAGAAAGAATGACCCCCATGGGGCAGATGTTAGTCTTATTGCATAATGCAAAGATCCTGCAGTGATGAGAGTGGGATAAGAGCCTGTATAGAACAGAAAACCTTCTCTCGCTGCTAAGAATAGGTTCCTGCTATTCAGCCCTGAATGTCTCTCTTGTCAATTTCAGGCACTTGCTGCCAGCCACACCCCTTGAATGCCCCTCAACAACCCCCTCGTTTGTCTCAGCCGTTGTCCCTTTCCATGCCTCTCAGTCAGTTCTTACCCAAGCTTAGACATATTTAGCCATTTTTATTCTTAACTCCTGAGTCAGTCCCTCCAGCCATTTTTGGCTGTTCTTCTCTTAGAACACCTTCCAATCTGCCATTATTCTCTCTGGCAGGAAGGGGACCCAGAAGTGAATGGAGTTCCTACAGCCACACAGAAGGGCTGTCCCTGCCTTGCTTCAGGCCTATTTGGTCCCCATGTATGCGATGAATCCCCAAAGGGGATCCATCTAGTAAACCAGAAGTCCTCCCCCTCCTCAGAGGGGAAGGACAAAAAAATCCAACATCGGGATCAACTAATTTCGGGGAACAACAAATGAAAAAGACAGGAATGGGAGTGAGGGTTGTACGTTTACAAGCAGGGTTCCAGAGGGGGACACTGAGTAGAGGACCCTAGACAGCGGCTACTACTCCTAAAAAGAGTCCAGGGAGCTAATGGGCACTGCCCAGAGGAACCCTGCCCAGAGACATGAATTGACAAGTGCACAAATTTGAGCCCCACAGTCACGTTTGCAAGAAACCCCCCTGTCCTACCTCCTCTTCCTTAGTAGATACATGGCCAACTCCCGGAGGAGGTTGACGAGGAGGTCCCGTGACTTCACGTGGCCACAGATCAGGAGAGAGTAAATAAAAAGGTGTGAGAAAAAGTGAAGCCAGAACCTCAGCAAGAGGTTCTGGAGGAGGCAGGAAAATGGCTGCAAGCTGGTGCACAGTAAATATGCATGCCTCAAGGTTTCTCTCTCACCACAAGGAAAACAAGTGTCAGGGAGTCTGAAAACCGTGTCAGCATTGTGTCCGTGCTCATGGCTCCATGGAGGAGCTGCCAACCTATATCCCCAGCAGGCTGTGGAACCAAGGTGGAATACAGGCTGGCCCACCGGGGCTCCTAGCCCTCCACAGATGGCAAAAGGTCCCCCCATTTCATATCAGGGCAGAACACAAAAGCGAGGAAATGGATAGTATGGAGTTCAAGCTTCTGTAGTTGTTCCTGTGATGCAGCTTGGAAGCGGCGCTCATATGGGAGGTTTGAGGCAGCTGGCTTGCAGGGCAAGGGCCAGGGGATACAGGTGGGTGGGGAACACCTTGCTACAGGACTCACTCAAGGAAAGATACAGAGGCATGGGGCAGGGCAGCCTTTCCATCCTGGAGCATGAGGTGGGGGACACATGGGGTGACAACCCCATATGCTAGGCGAGTGTACAGTATCCACCTAGTCCTGCTGACTGTAGTCCAGGAGGTCTCCGACTTTGATGACACCAGCCAGGACCAATCTCCTGTGCACTGGGGGCACCTCCACCACCTGTGCCACACGATGTAGATTGTGGAACCAGGGTTCAACTGGGAGTTGACACGCTCGGTAGCCACAACGGACTTAGCTGCAGAGGTCAACTTCCAGGTATTGAGGAGGTCCTGGTAAAAGACCAGCAGCTCAGAGGCATCTCGAGGGAGACTCTTGGCTGGAGTTAAAGAGCTGCCAGTCATATCAGAGCCCTCAGAGATGGCGGAGGAAGGTGTGCCATAACTGGATCCATGTCACACCATGAGCTCTAGAAAGGAGCCTCTGCAGAGCCTGAAGACGGAAAGTATGAACCTCACTGTGTATGCACCAGGCCCTACCATCCCTCTTCCAGATGAAGGCTCAGGACACGGTCCAGTGCTTCCCTGGCCAAAAGAACTCCAGGACCTTCCTCTGGAGGTTGGCCAGGGTACCCAGGGGTGGACACAGGACTTTGAACCGGTCAGGGGCGCCGAAGCCCTCCCAAAAGTGGCTCCCCACAGCTGCTGCCAAGGCTCCCTGGCCAGGCTCCATGCTGGTATGGCTGGGGCGGGGGGCTCTCAGGGGGAAGAGGAGAGGAAGGGGACAGGGTCTGCCCAGGTGAAAAGTGGACGGGCCAGGCCCCACCACTTTCAAAAAGTGGGAGGGCCCAGCCCCCGGTTCTGGTGCCTCTGGAACCAGTGCCAGAGCATGGAAAGGACCAGCTGGTTAACAACCAGTGCCCTTCCCTCAAAGGCAAAGGCACTGGAGAAGCCCCGCCCATGCCTGCAACCTGTCAGACACTCTGGCCTCCAATTTTCCAGCGGGGCGGGATTGAGAGGTAAACAGCCAGACAGAGCGGCAGATCCGCACCCCACTGGATGCCGGCTTCAGGACAGGAAACCTCTGGGAATGAGAGTTCTATGTGGGGTGTCTGCCCGGGGCCATCCAATCTCTGCTCGGTGCCCAGAAATAAAATCAGTATCCCAGCTGCAGCTAGGGTGACCAGATAGAAAGTGTGAAAAATCGGGACAGGGGGTGGGGGGTAATAGGCACCTACATAAGAAAAAGCCCCAAATACTGGGACTGTTCCTATAAAATCGGGACATCTGGTCACCCTAGCTGCAGCTTGGAAACTGCATGTATTGTGAGGGAAACTGCTGTATGCTCTTTGGTGGGGGGCCTCACTTTATGCAGTGCCTAGCACAATGGTCACTGAATGGGGCTCCTAGGAACTACTGCAATTAGGGTGACCAGATGTCCCGATTTTATAGGGACAGTCCCGCTATTTGGGGCTTTTTCTTATATAGGCTCCTATTACCCCCCGCCCCCGTCCTGATTTTTCACACTTGCTGTCTGGGCACCCTAACTGCAATACAAATAACAACTGGAGAAAGAGGTTCAGGAGGGATGGGATTTGGTGTGGCACCAGGGTCTCAGGAACACAAGCCGGGGTCAGGTTGAGGCTACATGTGCACAAAAGTGAGAGCCTCAGCGTAAAGCACTGGCCACTCAGCAGGACTCATCACGGTCTGTTTCCTACACACAATGCTCTTGCTAATGAAACACGGTGTGATGCTGAAAGGTGCATCCCAAGACAATCACAGCCCTAGTTCAAGCCATTGGCTGCCCCATTCAGCCTCCTTCACGCTCAAGAGGAGGAGCAATTAAACCCCTCGATGTAAAGACAGCTGCAAACAATGGAGGCGACCCCCAAAAGCAGTACTAAGGCTGTCTTCACTGCTAAAAAAGGGTGTGTTTCTAAAGTGAGTTAGCTAACAGCTGGGGAATTAGCTCAGATGGCAGAACACTCACTTGGCACGTGGCAGGTAGTGGAATGGATGCCCATTTATTTTATTTTATTTTATTTTTAGATCTGTTGGGATGACTCAGTGGTTCAACGCACCAGGCTCAGGGCTTTGCTTTCCCTTGTCCTGGGTATTCAGGTTGCTGTGTAGAAGAATGAGGCCAAATCTCACTCCTGACACATCTCTTAAAACAGCAGTGTGGCTTAGGGGATAAGGGCATTGGCCAGGGGCTCAGGAGAGCTGCATTCACTTCTCAGTTCTGATGGGTTATCTTAGGCAAGTTGTTTCCCTGCTCTGTGCCTCAGTTTCTCCATCTGTAAAATAGGGATACTGATAGTTACTTGATAAGTTTATGAACAGGAGTATATGACAGAGTTCTCTGCAATAGCAGGGACTGAACTTGTTGATTCAGGCGGTCCCTGCCATCCCCATGAATGTTAGTTGTTTTGCTGTAAAACGCTATGGGGACAAGGCTCTGTAACTTTCACTGTAACACAGATAGGTGGGGTCACACCTAGGCTGACCAGATAGCAAGTGTCAAAAATCAGGACAGGAGGTGGGGGTAATAGGTGCCTATGTGAGAAAAAGACCCCAAAATCTGGACTGTCCCTATAAAATCGGGACATCTGGTCACCCTAGTCACACCAGATTGGGGGGATGATGTTGCTACATTGGCAAAAACTGGCTGTGCCTTGTCTCCACACCACTAGGATTTTGCAGCAAGGTAGCAAATGCTCCTTAGTTATCCCGTTGTAACACGTGACTGGCCGTGAATTTGGTAGGGCCCTAGTCATTTGCCCTGCACACACAAACACTTCTGTCCCGCCCATTGCCTCCTCCCAGGCAGCTTTCAGTGCTGCAGGGCTCCTGGGATGGGCAAGGCAGCCATTGCCATGACCACAGCTCCAGGCCAGTAAGAAGAGAGCTTAGGGAGCTTGATCGACCCACTTAGTAAGAGTCTCAGAGTCATCGTGATAGGCCAGAAACTCTGGCTTTGCCCCTCGTTCGGCAAAACTCCCTGCTCAGATTGGATGTTTGGTGATAGTAACAGGCTGGGACTAGAGAAGGAGCTACAATTGGCTGGTGCGATAACAGCTGCTGTGGGTTAAAGGGACAGGGGGTGGAGCGTATGCATGGGAGGATTCTGGAGCCACTGCTAGTACCTGCCGTGTGTGCTTTGGAGAGACGGACACCGGGCGGGCTGTCAGGTAGGACTGTGCGGCAAGGGGGAACCGGTTAGTCACACAGAGGCGGGCAGCAGGCAGAGCTGCAGCTCAACATTGCTCAGAGCGTTAGAAGTGACCGGTGCTGCAGCATTTCATATGGCTGACAAGGCAGCGTGGTCTTGTACAGCCACCAGTAACAGCCTGTGAAACCGAGAGATCCCCGCCAGGAAGGGGGTTTCTGGAAGAGTTGGAAATTCTTCCCCTTTTGTGAATTTGGAGGCCTGAGCTGCACATCGCCCAAACTTTCCCCTTTGTGCAATGATGCCCCTTAATCCCAACCTGCGTTGCAATCCTGGACTCCCCTCACATGCTCTGTTGGTGCTTCTCCATATCAACCTGCAGCCTCACCTGCTATTCCGGTTCTGGCCTTTCCCCCC